TTTCCATTTTCATTTAGTTCAAAATGTTTTTTAATTTCCATTGACCCATCCTCTTTGAACTATGGATTATTTATTTATTTATTTATTTTTCAAATATTTATAGAGGGCAGTAGCATCTCTGCATTTTCATCAGGGAGAGACATCTTTATTATACTAAACAGTAAGCATGCCTTCCCTTTGTTCCAAAGGGGAGACACTATTTCTAATATTGGAAGCCCGGGTTTCTCAGACTTGGCACTGTTGACATTTGCAGATGAATAATCTTTAGTTGTGGGAGCCTGTCTGTTCAATGTAGGGTGTTTAGCAGCATCCCTGTCCTCTGCCAGCTAAATGCCTTACCTCCCAGTTGTGACCATCAAATATGTCTCCAGACATTGCCAAATACCTCCTGGTTGGCGATTAAATTGCCCCTAGTCAAGAACCACTATAGTAAGCCAACTTATCCTTTGCTCCAGAGGGGAATCATTATCTGTTTTCAAGGCTTTTCACTATACAGACAGTCCCCAACTTATAATGATTTGACTTACAATTTTTGAACTTGACAACGATGGGAAAGCAATACACATTCGGTAGAAACCATACTTCAAATTTTGAATTTTGATTTTCTCCTGGGCTAGCTGTACGTAGTACGATACTTTCTCACAATGGTGAGCAGCAGCAATGAGCCACAGCTCCCAAGCAGCCATGCTGGGTAAACAACTGGTACTCTACAGTATATCGTGTTGTCAGATGATTTTGTCCAACTGTAGACTAATGTAAGTTTCTCAGCATATTCCAAGTAGGCTAGGCTAAGCTGTGATGTTCGGTAGGTTAGGTGTGTTAAGCGCATTTTTGACTTACAATATTTTCAACTTAAGATGGGTTTATCGGGGGGCCAGCCTGTGGCTCACTCGGGAGAGTGCGGTGCTGATAACACCAAGGCCACGGGTTCGGATCCCACATAGGGATGGCCGGTTAGCTCACCGGGTGAGCGTGGTGCTGACAACACCAAGTCAAGGGTTAAGATCCCCTTACCGGTCATCTTTTAAAAAAAAAAAAAAAGATGGGTTTATCGGGACATAACCCCATCATAAGTCAAGGAGCATCTGTACAAACATTCTTGAAAAGATAGTCCAAAGCAAAGGGCAGTCCGTGCCTCGTTTTGCAAGATGTGCATGAGTACAAGTGATCCATGAAGAATTGCCTCACAACATTGGTTTCTAATTTAATTGCATTGTGGTTAGAGAAATGTTCTGTATGCCATTGATTCTTTGATTTGTTGAAACTTGTTCATGGCCTGTGTATGGTTAGTGTATTAGTCTATTTTTGTTGCATATAACTGAATACCTGAAACTGGGTAATATATAAAGAAATAGAGTCTATTTCTTACAGTTTTGGAGGCTGGGAAATCCAAAGGCCAGGGAACACATCTGGTAAGGGCCTTCTTCCTGGTGACTCTCTACAGCAACACAGGGTATCACAGAGTGAATGGGGTGAGCAAGAGAGCTAAACTTCTCACTTGCTCTCTTTATAAAGCCATCAGAACCATGCCCATTACTCCATGAATGAATTAAGCCATTCACCAGGACAATCCTCATGATCCAACGATCTCTCAAAGGCCCCACCTTTCGTATACCAAATTGGATTTTCCACCACCCACTGTTACAGTGGGAGTCAAGTTTCCAATACATGAACTTTTGGGGGCACATTTAACCCATAACAGTTAGTTTTTGTGACTGTCTTATATGTGCTTGAAAACAGGGTGTTTTTTCTAATTGCTAGGTGCAGTTTAGTGTGTGTCAATTAGGTCAAGATTGTGATACTTCTGCACAGATCTTTGGTCTGTAGCAACTTTTGTCTGTTTGATCTATTAATTACCAAGAGAGATGTGTAAAGCCTTTTACTCTGTTGGTGGATTTTTCCCCTTTCCTTTGTAATTCTTTTAATTTTTGTTTTATATGTTTTGAGACTATATTATTAGGTACATTGTACCCCAACGTGTGAGCTAGAACACTGACAAGTAATTTATACCTAGGTATTTCTGAGCTTTTCACCCTGGCAGACTCCTTCTTCCCAAACCTGAGATAATTACTATCCTGTTCTCTTTTTCTTTTCCCTTGAGGTTTTATTAACTCTGTATTTTCCCCACTTATTGGTTTGTGACTTACATATTCAATTTATATTCTTTATGTGGTTTCCTTTAAAATTTTACTACACATGCTTAAGAAAATCTCACATTAATCCCTAAATCTACTCTCCTCCTAATAATATAAGGAGCTTAGAATTTAACTTTAATCACCCCCTCTCTTCTTAAGTACTTTTTTTTTTTTTTTCTTGCTGGCTGGTAAGGGATTGAACCCCAGATCTGGGCGTTATCAGCACCACACTCTAACCAACTGAGCTAACCCACCAGTTTACGTACTTTTAGTCTACCATTTTAGTTTTATCCTGATTTCCTCAAACAAACATTATTAATATATTATTGTTGTTGTTTTATAGTCAATGTTAGTTTAAATTTATCTACTTTCGCTCACCATTCCTTTTTGCATCTCATCCCTTCCTTCTGTAATCATTTTTCTTCTTGAAGTTAACTCCTTTAGAATTTCTTTAGTGGGACCCTACTGATGGTAAATACTCTCGATTTTTATCTAAAAATGGCAGGTATGAAGATCCAAACCCTTGATCTTGGTGTCAGAAAGCTGTGCTCTAACCAGCTGAGCTAACCAGCCAGCCCTCATTCTTGAATAATAGTTTAGTTGGCTATCCAATTCTAAGTTGACAGTTCCCCCCTGCCACACTCAGTATTTTTTTTTTTCCTTTTTGTCTTTTTTCGTGTCCGGCAACGGACCGCAACCCTCAGTGTCGCGCCCGTACCGGACTGGGACCGGCAACGGTATCGCAACCCTCGGTGCTGCGCCCACCCCTCGCTCAGCCAGTGAGCGGGAACCGGTCTGTATGTGGGATCCGAACCCTCAGCGGGAGCGCCGCCAGGCTCCCAAGCGGCGCACTGTAGCAGTGCGCCACTGGGCCGGCCCCACACTCAGTATTTTAAAGATAATGCCTGGTCATCCTCAATTTAACAAAAACATGTCTCTATGTAGATTTGTTTTTATTTTTGCTTGGAATTTATTGTGACTTTTAAATCTATAGAATCATGCCTTTCTGGTTAGTATTCTGAAATGTCCAAGTTGTGTTGCATTCTAAGCATTCTTTTTTTTTTTCATCTACCATCAGCCACATTCTAAGGATTCAAAAGTAAATAAATAAAGGAAGCAAACTGGGGGAAAGGTGGGTTGCCCAGTGTCTCCTTTCTGTAGGGGAGAAGGCCTTCCCAAATCTCTCTGCTGTGAGTTGTTACAATACCATCTACAGGCCACTTCTGAGACAAACCAGACACAGTGGGAACCAAGAAGAGAAGCTGAAGTGGAAATAAGTTTTCTCATCCTCCCAGGAAGAAGCTAAGGCTGAAAGAATAACCGTCTTAACTCCAAGGATATGGATAACCAATATCCTTATAGCCAAATACAACATCCTCTTTCTCTAGCAATATTTAGCTAGATGTGTGTCTCCCTCATGCTCCCATAACATCCTTTCCTGCCAGATCATAGCACAGCCCAGGGAATTGTCATGACCTATTTTCTTAAGTGTATGCTAAAATGTAAGCTAGCCTGTGAGCACCACAAGGACAGGGACTGAGCCAGACTTACTCAAATTGTATTCCTAGCACCTAGCCTAATGGCTGGTATAGAGTATATACTCAACAAAAATTTATTGCATCAGAGAGCAAATAAATTCAAGCTAGATGTATTGAATGTCTAATGGGTACCAAGCACTGTGCTCAATGCCCTAGAAAAGCAGTTTTCCAAGGATTTTGGAGTTAAAAAAAAAAAGAAAATCGACATTTAACTTGTATGGATTTTTTTAAAAATTATCTACCATAAAATTTCATAAAATAAAATATATTTCAACTCTATAAAACTAGGAAGGATATGTAGGATACTATTTCCTTTTATGGGGGCTGGCTGCTTAGTGCAGTTGGTTAGAGCGTGGTGTTATAACACCAAAGTCAAGGTTCAGATCTCCAAACCTGCCAGCCGCCAAAAAAAAAAATCTCATTTCACGGCCGGCCCGTGGCTCACTTGGGAGAGTGTGGTACTGATAACAACAAGACTGTGGGTTCGGATCCCTATATAGGGATGGCCGGTTGGCTCACTTGGGAGAGCGTGATGCTGACAACACCAAGTCAAGGGTTAAGATCCCCTTACTGGTAATCTTTTCTTAAAAATAAAAATAAAAATAAAAAATAAAAATCTCATTTCAGGACGGCCGGTTAGCTCAGTTGGTTAGAGCGCAGCCTAATAACACCAAGGTTATGGGTTCGGATTCCCATATCTAACAGCTGCCAAAAAAAAAATCTTATTTCCTAGTTGATCGGTAAAAACATTACCATTGATTGGCTCCTATTCATAGAAGGGCCATTGCAACCACAGAAGAGAAACAAAGCATAAAGTAGAGATGTCGCTAGCTCAATAAGCTGTACAATACAGTAAGGGAAATAAAAGTGTCACACGATGAACAACCCAGCGTTGAATTGCGCGGTGCTGATTCCTTGTCCTTTGGCGCAAGAACGGATAGGTGTGCCTGGAGTCGCTGGGGAGTGAACCTTAATCCGGTGTGGAATTCCGTTCGGTTGTGCAGGGGTTTGCTGTTTACGAAGTGTGTTAGACACATTACCTGATTGAGTTCTCAAAATTACCTCCAATTTCACAGGTGCAGAAAGAGGCTCAGAAAGATTCACATTTCTTGGGCGATTTGCCCAAGGTGACACACACAGTCTATTTTTCTTTTTCTTTTCTTAAAAAATTTTTTATTTTATTATTATTATTTTCACACCGTCTTCATAATTGGCCGAGCTTAGAGCGTGAGACCTCGAACTCAAACCCTTCCAATCCAGGACTCAGTCCACCGCATCCCGCTGCCTCCCTGGAAGATGAGGAAACAGGAGACGTCAGCAGGGAAAGATGTCCTACCGGGATTACTGTGACATCTCAGTAGGATAAATCCGGGCAAACGTGGACCAAATGATCCCACCGTCGTCTTTTGTCCAAAGTCCTGAGGTACCTGTATAGCGCTAGAAAGAGAGGGGAAATGCAGAGCAAGGGAGCGTGCGTGTGGTCCCGCCCAGATATTCGGAGAGGGCGTGGCCCGGACGGAATCCTGGGAGGCGTGGCCCGTGCGGCG